CCCCTTTGGAATTTTGCTTCTGTTACCTGTTTACTGCAGAAGGTGGCTGGGAGTCCATGTCAAGTGCCTGGCACTGTGCCTGGCACAGAATGTTAGTGTTACTATCCTAGAGAGGTGTCACGTCCTGTCTTTATGCAGATACCGTCATTAACAGGGCAAGGGGAAGCCTTAGAGGAATAGAGTAGACATTTTCTCAAAGAAGGCATACTCATGGCCAACAGGTACATGAAAAGGTACTCAACATCACTAATCAAGGAAATGAAAATCAAAACCACAATGCAAGATCACCACATACCTGTTAGAGTGGCTGTTATAAAAAAGACAGGAGATAACAAGTGTTGGTGAGGATCTGGAGAAAAGGGAACCCTTGTACACTGTTCGGTGGGAATGTCAATTGGTATAGCCACTATGGAAAACAGTATGGAGGTTCCTCAAAAAACTAAAACTAGAACTACCATGTGATCCTGTGATTCTACTGTATATGTATGTAAAGGAAATGAAATCAATATCTTGAAGAGACATCTGGACCCCTAGGTGCATTACAGCATTATTTTCAATGGTTCTTAATCACGAGACATAGCTAAAGTATTATGGAAGGGGCAGGAGAGAGGGCTGTGTGCCCAGTGATGGCCTTAGTTGTCTCCTGGGACCCTTGATGTCTTTGTGAGTTGGAGGGGGCTGGCTGCCCCTTTCTGGGCAAATTTGTTCCCAGAGGCTGTTTAGTACAACTGTGACAGATGTAAAGAAAAATTACCCACAATTTAGAAATAAGGTCAAGAATGTCCGTGTGTTTTTAAAAGTAATTTTGAGTGTCGTGGTCCACTGAAGGATTCTTTAATATTTAGGGGAATGTACTTTTGTTAGACTTTGCCATTGAAGAATTAATTACTGGCTCAGGCTGAAGTTATATGTCAACTGGTAGATCTTATCCTGTAGAGATGCAAATAATTTCTGCCCAGTAGAAAAGATAACCCCAGCGGTTCTGATTGCCCTGTAGGACAGTAACCAGTTTTGTATCTAACTCACGAGGCTCAGGCTCTTATTCCTTTTTAAATACCTGTGAACACCTGGTCCCTCAAAATTCTCTTTGAATCACTCTGCCTTCATATTTGGTTCTTTGTTGAAGAGTTAAATAATCTTCAACATGGGTTCATTCTATAGTTGTACGAGGGTCATGTTTTTAATGTTCTGAAAATTCACTTTGATGGTGATAATGGGTATATCTTTTTCCAAGTTTAAAATAATAAGTTACCCCATTACAAACTAACATGTTGGTGTGTCTTACAGTGTAGTGCAGTGATTTTCAGCTGCTGAGCCACAATAATTTTTAAAATGTGCAATACCTGACTACTTAGTTAGGGACACTGACCTCTTTTCCCTGAGATTGCCAAAAAAATGACAACAGCCAACACAACAATAGCAGTTCTGTGTGAATGCCCTGACTTGAGCCATAAATATATAGATCATATAATAGAGTTGTATCTTATTGGTCCTGTCACATAATAAGGTTGCATCTGATTGGTAAGTTTCTGGTACCAGAAATCCTTATATGCAAGTATAGGCACCTCAATTTTTGAAAAAAGTAACTTTGGAGCAAAAAGGGTAGGTAATTACTAAAATTAGTTTTTTTGTAAATCAACCAAACTTATACCTAATTTTTTGTCAGATCAACCACAGAATTTTAGTATTTAGTTCATGAGTGCCATGAGATGAAAAAAGTTGAAAATCGCTGGTGTATAAAATGCTTTCCCACACACGATCACATTTTGACCTCGACTCTTGTGGTTTCCCTGTGAGGAAGAGGAACAGATAGGGTTAGTCCCACTTGACAGCTTACTTAGACCCAGATTGAGGAGGGAGGCGACTTGTCCCCCTGGTCACCCTCACCTAAGTGGCAATACCAGGATGGCTCCAGAGTGAAGCTGGGTGCACAGTCTGGTTCTCCCTCCTGTCTCTGCCAAGCATGCCTGCCTATCTTGGTGAAATCTGGTTAAATGAACATCAAGAGCAGCCCCTAAATGGAGGCACCCAGGTAGGGGTAGACAGATGGGGTGTTGGAATGGGGAGGGCCGCTCCAGGGCTTTGCTTGTGTGTGTATGAGCTATAATGGGCAGCACCCTTGCTTCCTCTGGCGGCAGCAGCTCACTCTCATGGGCAAGGACTCCCCCATCTTGAGCCCCCAGACCCTCGGGGGCTGTCTTTCAGTGTAGTAATAGGGGGCTCAGAGCGATTAGCAATATTTCAGAAAGCTTAAGGGAGATCGTACATCTCCCCATGACAGGCCTGCCCAGACTAAATGAAATGTCATTTTTCTGCTTTTGGCTGGAATTCCGTCAGCTCAGTCTGGCTACACTGCTTATCTTGGGCTGATCAAGATCCCTGATTGGACCTTATATACGTCCTTGGCAAATAAAAATGAATTATTACTTAATAAATGCAATTGGTTTGGCAAATGCAGCCTTTCAGAGATGGCTCCATGGAGTTCCAAAGCACCTAATGAAAGGGGTCCTCAGGGGCACAGAGGTGGGAACTTGCTGGCTCTCCCAGGACCAGCTCTGGCTGGGGCCCCTTTTCCCAGGTAACCGAAAGTGGTATATCAGCCTGAGCCTGAGAACTTGACACAGGGCCAAGTCCTGATCCAGATGCCAACAGATACTGAGTACTAGGCACTCATTTCACCCAAGGAAAACGTCAGGAGCTGGAGAGCTGGCGTGGTGGCATGACACAGTGTGACACAGGATAAGTGTCAGGACTTTAGATAACCTCTTTAATTCTGGTTTCTTCATTTCTTAAAAAGATGCAATGGCACCTAGTCTGCCGCCCCCCCAGAAGTGTTACGAGGAATCAGTAACAACAGGGGCACCAGTGGGAGGTCCCTAGGTTCCAAGCACTGTAATATTCTTGTTTACCCCAATGGTAGCCCCTTACAGTGGCACTGCTATTATTTCCATTTTACTGAAGCTGAGAGTATAAGCAGCTTGTTTAAAGTCAGAGTCCAGTTGAGGAGTGCAGAGGTTAGTGGGAGTCAGTATAGAGTAATGGTTAGAGAAGGCCGCGGGGTCGCACCTGGTTTCAATCCCAGCTCTACCCCTTTCTAGCCAGGTAGCTCTGGGGAAGTTAAACCTCCATGCTTCTCAGTTCTTGATCTGTAAAATGGAGATCACAGTTGTACCTACTTTTAGGGTGTTTAATAAGGATAACAGCTATTGTTACTAAAGTAGGGTTATTCTTGATTTATTTTGGGCCCAATTACAATTGATTCAGAGGAGATCAGTGAGGTTAGGATGAGCATTAGGGCAGGAAACACGGCATCTCAAAAAAACAACAGAGACAAAGGTCTTATTTATGTTGAAGGTAGAGTCCTACATTTACGTTTGGCCTGTTACAGGCAAGTGGGTACATAATAGAGCCAGTCTTTGTATGTAAATCACACCTCAATAAAGCTCGTGCCATGAAAGTAAAGTACAACATTCTATGAGTGTTTAGCAGGAGGACCTCATCTAGTCTGGGAGGTCAGGGAAGGTTTCCTCAGGGAGGTGATACTGAGCTGGGATAGGAAGAAAGAGAGGAGTGAACCAGGTGAAGGGGAGATGGAAGGATGTTCCTGGTAGAGGGGAATATCATGTGCAAAGGCCCTGAGGTAGGAAGGCACTGGGATCATTGGAGAAGAGAAAGAAAGCAAATATGGTTAGAGTGTCAGTGTGCAGGATGAGACCAGGGAGGTAGTCTGGACTTGGTCGTGCAAGACTTTGCAGGCCAAGGAAAGCAGTTGAGTACTTTTTTTTTAAAGAATACTTTATTGATTTTTTAGAGAGAAAATGAAACATCAATGTGAGAGCAGAACATTGATTGGCTGCTTTCTGCACACCCCCTACCAGGGATTAAGCCCACAACCTGGGCATGTGCCCTGACCAGGAATTGAACCAGCAACCTTTTGGTGCATGAGACGATGCCCAACCGAGCCACACTGGCCAGGGCAAAGCAGTTGAGTTTTTTATCTTAAGATCCTGATTCTATGTTCCCCACCTGATGAGCCCAGCTCCTCTCCTCTGGCTGGGATATGTTTGTTAGTGACCATGAGGTCCAGCTGAGACTGAGAGGAATGCCAAGAGCAGAGTGTCCTGGGGTGTCAGCTTTCTGGGTTGAGCATCTCTTTGTCCATGGAAATCCTTAGGCAGACCATCTGTGGGCCCAGGTCTGGCTCTATTCAGCAGCTGTTTCCTAGCTGGGAAGAGGCTTTTAGCTTTAATAAAAAGGGAGTAGAGATAAGAAGACCGCCTCGGCAGAGAAAGCAGCAGTGACAGGATGATTTAAATGGCCTCTCCAGTGTCATTTCTTCTGTGCAGACATCATAAATCAGATTAGCACTGGGCTCTGACGGGGAGGGGTGTAGGGAAAGGGGCCTGCAGGGAGAGGGGAGAAGCGCTTGTGACTCTGGATCCTCTTGGGACTGGCCTGGAGCTGGTGGTGTCCCCTATTCCTGGTCCTCAGTCCCGTAGCCTTACTCTTTGCAGGAGGGGCAGGTGGACTGACTCCTCCAACCCAGCCTTCCAGTCCATATTCAACTTTGGGGAAAAATGAAGAGGGACTGATAAGAGAAATAGGGAAGAGGAAAATCGGGAGGAGTGAGGGGCGGTGTGGGAGGTGGGTGTTACAGCCATCAGAAAAGCTAGGAGCAGTGGTTCTACTCTGCTATGTATTAAAATCACCATGGGAACGTAAAATAAAATACTGATGTCTGGGTACCACCCCCAGCATTTCTGGGTTCCAGGTGATTTGGATGTGCGGCTAAAGTCAGAAAGAACTGGATGAGGACCGAGCTTCTAGCGTAAACTCAAGAGCTTTGCAACGTCAAGCCATCACTTTCACCAGGACCGCTCAGACCCACTTCGTCCCTCTGGCCTTCCTCTTGAAAGTGACCAGACTGAGGGACTAGAGTAGACACCTCTGAGACAGGTGTTAATGTGGATCAACTCCCACCCGATGCCCTTGTCTTCCAGATCTCGCGCCACCTGGGCAAGATGTACAGTGAGATGATCTTTGTCAATGGCTTCGTGCACTGCGACCCCCACCCAGGCAATGTGCTGGTGCGGAAGAGCCCGGACACAGGAAGGGTAGAGATTGTCCTGTTGGACCACGGGCTCTACCAGGTAGGAGAGGCCTTTCCCACCTGACCAGCCCCCAGGTCTAGTCCCGCCTGGGCTTAGAGCCCACTGAACTCCCCGATGGGCCACAGCTGCAAATCAGTCATACACTCTCCGAGCCTTAGCTTCCTCCTCGGTGAGGGGAAGTTGGGAAGCCTCCTTTATGGGCTGCTGTAAGGAGTACATGGGAATGTGTCCCCATATGTGAAAGTGCTTTGTCAGCTATAAAACAGCCTGGCTTTCCAGGGAAGTCCAGGCCAGCCCAGACCAGACCCTGGGTTGTGAGCTGGTACTTGACAGGGAGGGGTAATTCAGCCCCAGTGACAAGGTGTTGTATAGTAGGAAGGGGGGCTGGGAACTGATGGGGGCTCTGTCCTCTAGACTTGGGATGCAGAGCTGGTTCAGATGAGCCACAAGTTCCACCTAGAAATTGGGAAGTTCACTGCCCATTCTGGGATCCAGGGCCTGGTTTGATTCTAGGAGATAGACAGATGGCCCTTGGGGAGGTTTTCCCTATGGTCTCCTATTCCTTCCCTCAGGGTCCTAATTCCACATCCCAAAACTTTGGCCCCCTTTGAAAGGCACAGTGATGCTGGGTATGTTAGTTTAAGGTAGGTCAGCTGCTGTCACATGTAACCCCTGAACGAATTATGCCCAGGCACAGCAGAGGTCTAATGCTCACTCGTGTGCCAGTCCTGGATGGGTGATAGAGGCCAAAGGCAGGGCTGACTGAGGCTCTGCCTCCCAGGCCTCCCTCAGGGTGGTCTCGCCATCTGCAGCCAGAGGCGTAAGGGCTCAGAGGAGCATGCATGGGCCAAGCCTGGGAGTGGAGCTCCTGCCACATTCTGTTGGTCCGAGCTCAGGCAGAGGGCCACAGCTAACGAGGAGGGGGCGGGGGATATGATTTTGGTGGGCACTTGGTAATTTCTGCCACTTTTGACTGAGGCTGGCCAATTAGTAGCTTTGAACTTGGACTGAACTTCAAGGGGGAAGCAGACGTTGTGCAGGAGCCACGGTCTTCATCCATCCCCCTTCACAGTGGTCACTCAGCCAGGGACTAGGTCTGTGATAGGGAGAGGAGGCTCAGGTCCGGTCGTGGTCGCCCCCTGCTGCAGGTACTCACGGAGGAGTTCCGCCTGGATTACTGCCACCTCTGGCAGTCGCTGATCTGGACTGATATGAAGAGGGTGAAGAAGTATTGCCAGCGCCTGGGAGCTGGCGATTTCTATCCCCTGCTTGCCTGCATGCTGACGGCCCGCTCGTGGAACTCGGTCAACAGGGGCATCAGCCAAGCTCCAGTCACCGCCACTGAGGTAGGTGCCCCGTCCTGGCTCTGCTCTCTCCTGAATTCAAGGGGCAGGACCAGGGATGGCCTTTGGTCCCCTTCCTATCCAGGGTCTGAGGCTCTGTCTGGTGGGCTGTGGGAGTGGGCGATGGGCAGAATTGGATATACACTGGATGAGAAGGAGGGAGGGAGGGGAAGCAGGGTCCCTGGATGGGAGAAGGGAAAGGGAGCGATATCTCGCTCCTGGCCTTATCCACCTGCAGCACAAACAGGTCGCGTTAACCATGTGATCAGACTTCTGTGGCTTTCACTCCAACCTGCTCGCACAAGATTTCAGGATTCCATAAAGTTCTCCCCCATGACTCTGGGAATCCCCAGGGACTGTCTCATAAATAAATAAGTCCGCCGTCTCTTCATCGGTGCTGTCTCCCATTGTGTAGTTCCTCTGGGGCACCCTACAGGGGAGAGTGCTTCAGTTCTCATGCGGTGTTGCTTGTCCCATTGCCTTATGGAGTTTTTAGTGAAGCAGCTTTTTGGTCTTTCTTTGTAGTTCATTTCTTCATCGGATCTAGACAACAGTCCCATGGTGTCTGGGCTGAGACCAGTCCTAGTAGCATCTCCTCCCGGTACTCATTCCCACCTCTGCCCCACCACAGGGACTTACGCGGTGGCTCGTACTTCCTCGCTCAGAGCTCCCTCCCTCCCTGGCTTCTCGATCCATCCGGTAGTGGACTTCTGTCTTCCCAGTCTGTCATGTTGCCAGACTCATGCAGGCTTGCCTGTATCTATGTGGGGATAGGTTTGGGCTCACCACAAGGGACAGGGTCCTGCTTGTGCAGTTAGAAAGACCTGGGTTCTAGTTCCAGCATCTGCTCTTCCTGGTGGCATGACCTTGGATGGTTCTTGTCACTTCTTTGAGCCTCATGGGAGGGAGGGTCCCCTGTAAGAATGGCTGGATCCAGAGCATCAGACGATGTCACCAAAGAGGCCACCTATTGCCGTCTCTTGGTTCTGCTTTCCTCCAAGTTGACATCATCCCCTAGCATGCTTGGTGGCAAAAATGGCCACCAGCTGCCCCAGGCCTACACAGCTTTAAGCTTGTCACCTCAGAGGAAGAGAGACAATCTCCCTCCTTGGTTGACTAGGGATGGTAATTTCTGCTTTACTAATAATGCAGGGAAAGTGCCTCTCTGTAGCTCCTGAAGTTCATTCATTGAACAAACATTTGTTTTTGAGGGACCCTGGACTAGGTGCTGAGCATCCAGTGATGAGCAAACAGTCCTTCTTTGTAATTTGCACTGTGGTTGAGGGAGACAAACAGCCAACAAGTGAACAAACAGGTAAATGGGATAATTGCAGATTGGAGGTATCAGGGAGGAAACAAGCTTGTGATGGAGGTGCTGTAAATTGGGTGCTCAGAGAAGAGATCTCTGCGGAGATGACATTTAAGCTGAGGCCTGAAGGACAAGAGAGGAACCAGCCACAGGAAGAGCTTGGAGAAGGAATTCTGGGCAGAGGGCACACACTGTGCTCAGGCTGGGGAAGGGAGAGTTTGGTGTGGTCTGGGGTATGGTGAGTGGATGGTGGAATGAGAAGAATTTGGAGCACCGGGCAGAGAGAGCATCACTCAGGGCCCATGAGCCACGGGAAAAAAGTTCGGATTAATTCTCAGGGCAAAGCAAAGTCTTTGGCAGGTTTTAAGCAGAAGGACATGCTCAGACTTGCTATTTTAAGTATCTCTGTGGAGTGGGGCAAGATGAGCAGTGGGCTGATTAGTTAGGAGGCTGGGGCAGAACACCACTTGGAGAGGTGCCATGGGCTCAGACTAGACTAATGGCAGTGGAGGTGGAGAGAAGCAGATGGAGCCAAGATGCATTTTGGACTAAGACTGAGAGGCGTTTCTGTCAGCTTGGATGGAAAAAGGATGAAAAGTGGCTTCACAGCTCTTTGGGGTGAATTATAGGGTGGGGAGGGTGGTGCTACCTCCTGACACAGGGAAGATTTTGGGAAGGATGTATTTGGGGTGGGGGTGTTAATTCTCTTGAGCTTTCAGATAGAGGTATTATGGGCAGTTAAGAAGAGGCCCAAGCTCGAGATGCAAATTTAGGTGGGAATCCTCTGCCTATAGATGGTATTTAAAGCCACAGGAATGGACAAGATTACATGGCACAAGTAGGTATTCAATAAACGATATATTTTTATTGACTAAGTTTGAATTTTATTTTTGCATTTTCATTCATAAGGACCCAGCATAAATGGTACAGTAATGGTCTGCTTGGGTTGCCATGATAGAATACCGCCAACTGGCTGTCTTAACAACAGAAATTTATTTTGTCACAGTTCTGGAGCTCAAAGTCCAATATCAGGGTATCATCAGGGTTGGTTTCTGGTGAGGGCTCTCTTCCTGCTTGTAGATGGCTGCCTTCTCACTGTGTCCCCACATGGCCTTTTTGTTGTGTGTACACACTCCTGGTATCTCTTCCTCTTCTTGAAAGGACATCAGACCTATCGAATTAGGGCCCCTCTTATGCATTCACTTAACTTGAATTACCTCCTTAAAGGCCCTGTCTCTAAGCAGTCACATTGGAGTTAGAGCTTCAACTTAGGGATTTGGTGGTGGTGGTGGTGGGGGGCATAATTCAGTCCATAGCACCGGCCTAGGAAGCTCTCCTCACACCTTTGCCAAAAGTGATCCCTTAATACTTGGGTCACTCATGTGAACTCTTTGAGTAAATGGCGAGTACCTGGAGGGCAGGCATCCTGTCTGGTACGTCTTTTTATAAGGTCTCTGCAGTTCTGGGACCAGGTCTAGTAGAGAGGCGTTTGTGTAGGTTCTGGAGACGTGTCTCCATTTGCTCACTTTGGACAAAAACCCAGATGGGGAATAAACGTAGCCACTCCAGGCCAGCCCAGTCTCTGAGGTGTAGGGACTCAGTTTTCTGAGTCCTAGTCTTACTTAGAATTAGGGGAACCTCCAACATTGTATCAAGGAGGATGTTTTCCCAACTATAAGTGGCTTAAACAAATAGGAATTTGCTCTTTCTGTGACAAGCAGCCTGGAGGCAGGTGGGTCCAGGTTGGTTGATTGAGCAGGTCAACAATCTCAGGGCTCTGGGCGGACTCCTCTGCGATTCTCTTGGTTTCCTCTCATGATTCCAGGATGACTGCAGCAGGTCCAAGCTTTACGTCTTTATCCCAAGGTGTTCAGAGGTGGGAATGAGGGCTATTCTGACATATTGCTTCTTATGAGAAGGAAAACTTTCCCAGAAGTCCCCCCAAAGACTGCTCCTGTCTCATTAGCCAGAATCATGTCATATGTCCATGCCTAAACCAGTCACTTGGCAGGGGCATTGAGCTCAAGGCCAATATTGGCTGAGATCAGTCAATGATCTGGGGCTAGGGAGGGGCTCTGTCTCCCTGAAGAGCAGGGCCCCAAGGGGTGAAATGAACAAAAATGGGGTTCTTTTCACAACGGAGAATTGGGAGATGGCTGTGGGACAGGCACCCAGTGGGGCCCACTGCAGACACTCACCATCAGGGTGTGTCCAAACTTGAAGGCCATGATGCCCCCTGCAAGGTAGTCTGAGTGGGCCAGGTGCTTTTCCTTTGGCCTGAGAAGGGCTGTCATCTGGCCAGTCCCTGCCTTGCTGAGAGGAGGGAGATCCCTCTGGTGAGTGGGGCTTTGATGAGGCCTTAGCCCTCAAGGGGTGCCCTGCAGCTGTGGTGGGAGGCGGCAGGCAGGCAGACAGTCTCTTGGTGTCTGGCTTCCCGTTGCGATGTTCCAGTCTGATAGCTCCTGCCTGAGGGACATTGCGAGTTTCACAGCTACTCGGTTATCAGCAGTGCACACGTGTTCCTGAAAGGGCAGTGAGTTCTGCTTCTGCTGCAGAAAGCAGCCAGGCGGTGAGGCTTTTGGCAGCACTGCTGGGCCCTTGTGACTTTGGTTGGCACAGAGCCCCTCCCCGTGCCTTATCTCTGATGGCCCTCTTGGTACTTCTGGGATGTGGGCACATAGTATATTAGCAGTTCCAACTTTTAGGTGAGGGCACTGGCTTGGAAAAGATGAAAGGACTTGCCCAGGCTCAAACAGTCCGCTGTGAGGGGAGAGGCAGTATAGCCTGGTGGTGAGGGCGTGGGCTCGCGAGCTGGACTGACCGAGTTTGAATCCACACTCACTACTTACTTGCTGTGGACCTTGGGCCAGTTACTTCATTTCTCAGTGTCTCAGTTTCCCCCTCTCAAAGGGGGTAGTGGACTCGCCTGATCAGGTTGTTGTGAGGATTGAGGGAGTTAATACATTCGAACATTTTCAAAGTGCCCAGCTTACTTGGTGAATGCACAGTACGTGTTGGCTGTTGTTGGCTATTGTCATTGTCATTATTATTGTTTCTCTGGAGGTCAAGGAGGGATCAGCACCTCACTATCATACTCAGGACTTTGGTAGGGGGCACTTATCTGCCCAGGGCCATGCAGAGCTCAGGGAGGGGGAAGAGAACAGGGAAGGGTGGGAAGCCAGACTCCACTCTTACTCACCAGAATGGGGCAAGGGCTTGGGAGCCCGGCATCAGGACCTTGGGCCCTGGAAGAGCTGAGACTGGCTCCAGAGTGGAGGACAGTGATCGGCATGGCTGTGTGGGTGGCAGGGGCTCTGGCTGGGGTGCAGAGTCAGGCAAGGCATGGGCACGACGTTGGAGCTGGATTGGAGTCAGGAGCTCAGACCTGTGAACTGCACCAGCCTGAGCTTGGCTGAGGGATGGGGGACATGACTAAGTGGGTACAAGCTTCCAGGGCTGCTTCTGGGCCTGGCCTGAAGTTGGTGGCCAGTGAAGAAGCGTTGTAGAGTCACTCACGGGTGGACCCCTGGGCTCCGAGGCTGGTGAACTCCATTCTCATCAAGTTGTTGGTGAGGAGGTAGATTTCCTGCCCCAGTCGGTACTGGTTTGGAGGCTTGGGGAATGGGTATTGGTGACCTTGACTGTGGGGAGTTGGGACAGCAAGGCAGCAGAAATGCATCTAGTCCCTTTGATGTGCTCCTGCACTGGGTCCAGTGCTTGGCCAAAATTGGGGTGAGAAGTCCAATCCAGGTTTGTCAAGGCTCCTGTGCTAAGCTTCCCTTTGTGGAGGGTTTCTAGTGGTACCAAGGCAGCTGTGCTCGAAGCTTCCTCTTGGAGCTTCCTTGCAGCCCCTCAGGTCACAGGCTTGGATACCCACCATTTTGGGCTCCACTTCCCACACCAACCATTGCTGTGTCTCTGTTGCTGCTTTAGGACTCAGAGATCCGCAACAATGCAGCCACCTACCTCCCCCAGATCAGCCAGCTCCTCAACCAAGTCCCACGCCAGATGTTGCTCATCTTCAAGACCAACGACCTGCTGCGAGGCATTGAGGCCACCCTGGGCACCCGTGCCAGCGCCAGCTCCTTCCTCAACATGTCACGTTGCTGCATCAGGGCGCTGGCTGCGTGAGTGTGGGCTCTACTCCCCTCCAGCTCCTTTGCCTGCCCCAGCGTCCCAATCTCCAGATCTCCCTGCAGGAAGTTAGGGGCTGGGAACAATTCCAGCTACCTGGCTGATGCCTCAGGGGAGTGTTTTGGGCGGTCTTTCCAGAGAGCCACCTGCACTTGGTAAATGGTAGATTCTGGGACCTCACCCTCTTGGTCAAGATTTTCACATGATTCTTACCCTTGGTAAAATTTGAAATGTCTTCTGAAAGTCTCAGTCCCACCCAGGTGTCCCCTGGGCTTGGGATCAGGATGTCCTGATGCACATCCCATCTTGGTCTGGTTCTGGGATCTGTCTCCCGGGATTGGCCAGGCAGCAAGGCCAGTGTTTTTCCCCCTACAGGTGTGGCTTTGACTCAGGAAAGTGTCACCAGCAGGCTCTAGGTCCTCTCCAGGATCTCATATCTTTTTAGGTGCCTCATCACCCTTGTGGTATTGATGAGGAAGGGAAAGATACTTCCTCGTGGAGGTAGCGGCAGGGGAGCTAGAGTTCTAGGCCCTTCTACCTGAGGGTGGAAGTATGTGGGAAGGCCTGTGCTATGGCTGAGTGTTCTCACCTGAGACAGGAAGCCTAAACTGTGGTCAGCTCCCAGCCCATCCATCCTAGGCAGGGAATGGGTCACTTTAGCCAACTCTTTGGTGAAGGGAGAGTTGACCACATATATTATATACCTACTATCGAATATCAAATTAGATTATAGCAAAATAGACTGATACAGAAAGGGCTGAACATGGTTCATTTTTCCTTCAAGGGTTCAGGAAACAAAGTTGTGCATGGTCATCATCAGAAATACCAAGTTTCATCATGTCCTTCTGTTGGTGCAGAGGGATTGAGCTGGGCTGCATCCATAGTGGCCTCAGCCTCCTGGGACCACCCAACCAGGTTTCCAAGTGACTCTTACCTTCAGAAAGTTTGGGAAAGCTTCTGTATTTGAGTTTGGGGGATTCTGGTTTGATAAATATTAACTATACTTTTGGAAAAATGGAAGCAGTGAAACATTGTACCCAGTGGGTCCACTAGGCCTTTGGTGCCCTTGCTTACCCCACTTACCTGGAAAACTCCTTGGAATAGTTGAGCTCCTCTGGTCCCTGATTGGGCCATGGTGTGAGCACACACCCAGGCTTTGTCGATGGGGGCAGGGAGCTGGGGAGTGGGCAGTGCCACTGTGTCCCGTTTTTCTAAGTGATCCTGCATGTTTCTTGCTTCTTTATCTCTTGTTTCCTCCTCTCTTCTTGCCCCTCCTGCAGGCACAAGAAGAAGAACACCCGCTCATTCTTCCGGAGGACCCAGATCTCCTTCAGCGAGGCCTTCAGCTTGGGGCAGATCAGCCTTCACGCACTCATTCTGCGTGTGAAGTCGCTGCGGCTGGCTGGCTGGGTCCTGGCCCTGCTTTGCTGGCTGTCGCCTGCCCCACACTGAGTGGGCTTTGTATCCCCTTCCCTCTTTTGGTGCGACTCTGTGGTGGACAAGGGGTCTTTTCACTCATGCTTTAGTCATGTCTCCACCAGTTGCCCTATTTCTGCCACATGCTGGCCTGGAGACCCATGGTCACCGTCCGTGGCACCATTGGACCCAGCCTCTGGAATTCCTGCCTCACACTGTAGCCCCTGTCTCTGGGCCACAAGCCAACCCATGCAGTAGGTTTCTCTCCTTATCCAGGGAGATGGCATACAGTCTGCCCTCTGACTTCTGGCATGTGCCATCGGGTTGAATGTCCCTCCACTTCCGCTAGCCCTCCCTTTGTCAGCATGGACCATGGATTCCACTGAGGGCACATTTAACTTGTAGGAAGTTTGATTTTGTTGGCGGGGAGCATGGCCTCTGAGCTTGCTGGAGACAAGTTCCCTGTCCTTGCCCTGTCACTCCTCACAGGGGAGTGGCTTGGCCTCCGAGGCAGGCTGTGCAGCAGCCATGGGTTCAGGTGTCGTGGGGACCCCTGTGGTATTTTACGTACTGTGTTTCAATAAAACCCCTCAGAATTGCAGGGCAGGTCTTGCTCGGTGGGAATTTTATTCTAGGTTGGGAGTGAGTCAGGAGGCAGGAGCGGACCCGGATGCTGCACGCTGCTGTGTTCTGCTTGGCTTCTTGCCTCTGCATTCCTCCAGCCTGCCCCTGTGGGGCCACTTCCTGCTTCTTGTAGGTTTCTCTCATCTTCTAAGACTTAGACCTTGGTTGCAGTTGCCCAAAGACCAAGGCCAGGAACTCAGAGGCTCAGCTGGAACCTCAGACTTTGGTTCCCCTAGGTTCTCACTTTCTTCCCTGTGACCTGGCACCTGCCTTGTTCTACTAACTGCTTCCTGACCTAGCCCTTTGGTTCATCATTCCATGCCCTCTGTCCTGGAGACTGTAGTCTGAACCTCACTTATCATGGGTAGAGTTCCACTCTGAAACTCCTTGTCACCTGTCTGGACACTCTGCTTCACCTATTGCCTGCAGCCAGCTGCCCCTCTCCCAGCATGACCATCTGCTCCTGTTTCTGGGACATCCCAGACTCCTGCTTTGATGGCTGTGCCTGTGTGGTCTCCAGGTGCTATTGGGTTGGATGTCCTCCTACTTCCGTTATAATTCTTCCTGTGTCAGGATGGACCATGAACCCCAGAGAGGGCACATTCAACTTGTAGGAAGTTTGATTTTGTTGGAGGGGAGCATGCTGGAGCTTGCTGGAGACAGGTTCCCTCTCCTTGCCCTGTCACTCCCGAGGTGTCACACCCAGATTTGGTAGCTCCTAGCTCTCGCTGAGCACCCTTGCTCATAGTCAATAGTTGTATGAGTCTCTCTGATCTTACTTCACCCCATTCATGGGGCAGAAAACCCCCAGATTTGAGACTTATTTTCTGTTCTCATGATTCATAATACAAGCAGATTTTCCACTGACCAGAGATGATTCACAATCCCTTTCTTTCCTGAAAGAATTAATTGTTCTTAGTGACCAGTTGGATGTACTTAGGGGCCTGAGAGAATAATTTGTAAGATCTGTTACTAATCACGAGGATGCTTACTAGATATTATATTTTATGGTGTCTTTTATAGCCACTGAAGTAAATATAAATGTCCTTTTGGTTCAAGGTAATGGTTATTTGCTTTTCATTTTTGGTTTAATGTTGGTTTCCTGCTGGCGTGGGATGTAAAACATCAGCATGTTGCCAGTGGGCCCAGCACCCAGAACAGATATCCAGGGAGAGTAGAGAGGCTGGCAGAGTTTGGGGTACAGGGCAGTTGAAAATAGAGAGGAGTAGGCTGATGATTGTTGAGTACTTTCCACGTATGAGAGAACACGCTAGGCTCTTTGTAAATAAGTTCTATCATTGAATTGTCCCATCAGCTCTTTAAGGAAGAGGGGTCATTAGCCTCATCCCCAGAGATGGGAACTGAAGCTCAGAGAGGTTCAATTTGCCTGAAGTCACACAGCTGCTAAGTGGTGGTTCATGCTTTGTTTTGAATATGTTTTTATTGATTTCAGAGAGAGGAAGGGAGAAGGAGAGATAGAAACATCAATGATGAAAGTCATTGATCAGCTGCCTCCTGCACGCCCACTACTGGGGATCAAGCCCGCATCCCAGGCGTGTACCCTGACTGGGAATCGAACCCTGATCTTCTGGTTCATGGGTTGATGCTCAACCACTGAGCCATGCTGGCCAGGCTATGCTTTGTTTTTTATCCCACAGTGCTGTAGATGTAGATTGCACTTGCTTCTTGGGCTGTCACATGTGCCTGTATTGGGTCTCAAACACCCTGATTTTGGAGGAAATTGGATTTTCAGTGGAGGTGGGGGAGTGGATGGGTAAGCGAGGCATAAAGTCCTGGAAAATGAGGACTGAGACCAGCATGTTCCCCAGAGCCTAAGACAGGATGGATCTGGGCTACTGCCCTCCATAATGCAAATCTGACACTGACACTCAGAGTTAGTGCAGACCTCATAGCTTAAGGACATGGTTCCTCATGAGACTCAAGCTGCAGGTTTGGGGGTCCCCAGGCCACCTGCAGTTCTGACCAACTGACTACAAATTTGGAGGCTCCCCCAACCCCTTCAGATTTAATAATTTGTTAAAATGACTCACAGAACTCACGAAGTCACTATATATGTGATAACAGTTTTATTATAAAGCATACAAATCAGCATCAGCCAAATGAAAAGACACATAGCTGGGGTCTGGGAGGGTCCTGAGTGCAGAGCTTCCCTGCCCTCTCCTGTGGACTCAGGACACAGCACCCTTTCAGCGCAGCAGCATGTGCACTGAGCCTCAGTGTTTAGGGTTTTTGTCAGGGGTTCATTACACAGGCAGGGTTGATTGAATCATTGACCGCATGGCTGAACTCAACCTCCAGCCCCCTTCTCTCCCCAGACAGATGGGGCTGATATCAGCCAGTTCTGAGTCATCTAGTACAAACTCCGGGGTGATCGAAGGGGCATAGCGTGAATATCAAAGATACTCCCATTGCTGGGAAATTCCAAGGAGTGAGAGGTTCTCTCCCAGCCACCAGGGACAAAGACCAGATTCTTTATTAGATGCAATCACTCTGGTGTCTTTTTGTCCTGTGCACTTCGCCTGAGCCTTCTGCTCGGCCTGGAGGAGCCACCTCTGGAGCCAGAGCCCAAGGAGCTCTCCCCTGCTGTGTACTCTTCTGTTCAGGGAGAGCTCGGTGAGCTTCTACACGGGGCCTTTGCCCTGCTCCCTCCTCTGTCCTGTGGGACTCGCCATGAATTGATTTGGGTTTGGTGCTCTGCAGTCAAGTACGGCTACTTTTTTCTCCCATCAATGACAATGTGTCAGGAAGGCACCGCCAGCTTACTTTGAAGTGTTTCTCTTTTAACACTCAGTCAGTTTAAGTGTTGGCTTCTTTCATTTGGGCAGCGTGGCTCCTTGTCTTCCTTGTCTCAGATGGAGGAGAGANTGTTTCTCTTTTAACACTCAGTCAGTTTAGGTGTTGGCTTCTTTCATTTGGGCAGCGTGGCTCCTTGTGTTCCTTGTCTCAGGTGGAGGAGAGCGGGATTCTCACGCCATGGCCCATTTGGTGGAGAGCCCTCAGATGTGTGCCCAGCTCATAGTAAGTGCAGATGTCCTGGCTTGTAGCAAGTGCTCAGTAAACAGGCAAGTATTTGGAAGCTTGGATTACTTTATTTTCAGGGATGTTGAAATCTCTGTATTAAAGAAGCTGCATGTGTCGCTCACCCTCCATGAGGAATGCTGTCTTGTTTGATTGTCAGGTTAATTTCCTCAGTGCTGGAGCCCACTCCCAGGATCAGAGGTGGTCATTTGCAGCATCACAGGCTGCCTAGGGCCTCCTGCCACAGCTGCAGGGCTCTGAGAATGTGGGCATCTGATGACATCTCAGAAAACCAAAGTGGCTCCGAGAGGCACCTGAGCAGATCCTCAGGGGCAGGACTGGTTGAGAGGTATAGCATCACCCTCAGTGTCAGCAAATGTGAGGAGTTAAATGGAGCCATGTGGAGTGACTTGGGGCTTAAGTGGTCTTAAGGTTATAGGCATGAGGAGCTAGGGACCAAGTTGGGAACTTGGTGATTGGGCAATTCTTAATAGAATGAACAAAGCCACAGACAGTGGTGTGTTCCTCGCAGCCTGGGCTGCTGGAGTGGTGGTGTTTGTTGGGCTGGATTGGGAGCGCCTATATTTAACAAAAGGCCTTGAATGCCAGGTGAATGGGTGCCACTGCTACAGGTAACCGGCCAAAGGCTCAGTCCCTTAAGCCTTACTTACATCTGCAAACATTTTGATAAAAGCCCATTTGTTCAAAAGGCAATGCCTTCACCCCCTTTCCTTCCTCTCTCCCACCTGCTTCCTTCCTGAAGTAAAGCCTGGCTTGGCTTTCTCTCTGTAGGAAGGACGGGGTCAGCCCTCAGCAGAGCAAATATGAAGCCTTAGGCCGTAGCTGTGATGCCCGTCCTCCTGTGGCAAGTGCCTCCCGGCCTGGTTTCCCTGGAGGCCGCCTCGGCTCCCGCCAGCAGCTAGCTTCCGTCCTGGCCAGGTCACTGTGCCCTTGGACAGCACTGCCCAGGGCACAGAACACTCTGCTCAGTTCTGCCTTGGGCTTAATAGTTGCAGAGTTCCTCTGATGTTCCTTCGTTCCTATTTTCTTCCTTCCCAGGTATGGAGGGAAGACCAGGCTACTGCAGTGGTGCAGTGATGGGATGCAGCCCCCCACTGCTGTCCTTTCAGCTTCCATCTCTTCATCTCTCCCTGCACTTTCCTTCCAGAGCCGTGCTTCTCAGACTCTCACGTGTAAACGAATAACCTGTGCTCTTGTTAAAACACAGATTCTGATTTAGTGGGTTTGGGTGGGGCTGAGAGTCTGTGTTTCTAACAAGCTCTCAGGGGATGCGGATGCTGCTGGTCCGAGGACCACACTTTGAGTTGCAAGGATCTATATCAGCGGTTGTAAAGGTGTGGTTCCAGGACTAGCAGTATCAGCATAACCTGGGAGCTTGTTGGAGATGCAAATTCTTAGACCCCCCACTCCAGACCTGCTGAATAGAAACTCTGGGCTCCACCCCAGAGTTTTCAACACCCAATTGGTGCTCAGCCCTACCTGCACACTGGGATCACCAGGAAAGCTTCAAATGCCCAAGAGTCTGATTTATAGTACTTCTCGGCGGTTTCACTTTCCACAGGTTCAGCTACCCGTGGTCAATCTTGGTTGACTATCTTAAATGGAAAATTCCAAAAATAAACAATTCATAAGTTTTAAGATGTGCATCATTCTGCGCAGTATGATGAAATCTTGAGTCTTCCTCTGTCGCGTGAGGGATGTGAATCATCCCTTTTCCAGCATATCCATGCTGTAGCTGCCATCTGCCCTTAGTCACTTAGTAGCATTCTCGGTTATCAGACTGGTTATTAGAGATACGGAGAGGGAGAGATAGAAGAGAGCAAGCCATATTCACATAATTTTTATTGAAGCATATTGTTATAATCGTTCTATTTTATTATTGTTGTTCAGCTCTTACTGTGCCTAATTTATAAATCAGTTTTATCGTAGCTATGTAGGTATAGGAAAAAACATCATGTATTCCAGGATTGGTACTATTTGCTGTTTCAGGCTTCCACTGGGGGTCTTGGAATGTAAGGGGGAACTATGACTTGGTTGGAATATTGATCCCATCAAGGATACCATGTTGCATTCAGTTGTCATGTCTCCTTAGTCTCCTGTGCTCTGTGGTAATTCCTCAGACTTCCCTTGTTTTTCATGACCTTGGAAGACCATAACCTTGAAAGACCATGACCTCTGGAAGAGTACTGGTCAGGCATTCTGTTGAATGCCTCTCAGGTTTGGTTTGTCTGATGTTTTCTTGTGGTTAGACTGGGGTTGGGGAGGATACCACAGAGGTGAAGCATCCCTCATATCATTTCATATTCAGGAAACATGATACTGACATGACTTCCTTTTTGTTCTTCAAAGCTCCCCAGCAGGGCCGGGATCCCCGCGTTGGGCTCACACACTCCCAGCTGTCTTCTGGAGAAGGAAGACATGCAGTTCATGAACTCTCCCATGCCCTCTTTGTGATTAAGGAGGCCGGGCTACTTCCAAATGAAAAGGCTCCCAGGAAACTGCAAAATGCAGATATGCAAACACAAGTTAAAAAAAATGACAGGGTAATGTAGTTTCCATGTTTACATTCACCACAGATTAACTCTGTAAGCACACACACAGATGTATTGACAAATGGATGCAATATCAGGAGCCTGAGCATCCCCCAAAGGACAGGCCTGGACTAGGATTTCATTCTACAGGTGTATGTGTAGTTCTAGAAATGGAACTCACCAGTGGCGGGTTGCGTGGAGCCTTCTAGTCGGACACTGCTGAGTGGTGGGCATGGTGCCCTTTGCACCAGCCTGAGCTGGTAGCGCCCTCCCAGTACCCAGAGAGGCGAGTCAGAGTCCCATCGGAAGTGGTGATCCACCATTTCAAGCCATGATCCCAACCATGAAAGATGGGAATGGTCTCTGGCCTTTCTCTAGGTGGGTAATAATGGAGAGGGAAGGTCTGAGGGATGGAGTGCCAGGTGCATGGATTTCCTCTTTCCCGGGCTCACACTGGGTGGGACATG